AAGTAATAACTCCGTGGTAGGGGAACGTTAGTTAACTTGTGTCGAGTCTAATATACAGAAGGAATTTTTTTTCAACAATCAATCGACCTAGATGAACCTTTTTTCTTGAAGAAGGAGAATTTTTCTTGAGGAAGGAAAATATTGTTTCTGCATAAAAAATGAGAAAACCTAACCTATCTATTTTATGAGTATATCTGTACTTGTTTCGTTGACCTGTGTAAAACTTGATGTTTATTAACACCAAATAAAATATTCTATTCTATTCTAACCTAACCTAACCGAACCTCACCTCTGGCCTAAACATAGAAAACCCCTAAATGAACCTATTTCCCATAGAGAATATTTTTTAGAAATCACTTGAGAACAAGAAAAAAATAAAAAAAAGATGAGCCTCGCACGGATTCGAACCCCGGACCACCGGCTTGGCATGCCGATGCTCTGCTTACTGAGCCAACCAGTTGCTTACGAGACGAAGTATGATGAAGTCATTCAGTCGGCGCCGCATAACGCCAGTCGCATCTACTGCCCACTATAAGGTTCTCCCACCACGGAGTTATTACTTGCGCAGACGCTAATAATGTAAAGTTTTGTTGCTGACAATTTGCTTGGAATGTGACGAATTGACGATGCAGTTCTCAAACATTGAGCTGAATGATATGGTTCTTATGTCGGGTCGTTATTGTGCGGGGCCCATGAGACTCCTTTAAGGACACGAAATTGTAGCGATGCAAGGAGGTGGAAGGAAGGGTCTAAAGGATTTTTCAGTAAAAGAACTTCCAACCGTGAGGTGTTAATAAGCTATACGCTATTCGAGCTTATGTGTACAAATCTTGGGTGAGTCCATTTTGAAGTTTTTGTATTATCTTTCTGAAATTCAAGACCAGGGTTAACTTCTTCCCCATGTACATTTTCACGATTATACATTTTATTTAATATCTCCTAATTTTCATGTAGAGTGGCAACGTCGCTTCGTTCATCATGGTCGACTGCGGATCGCAAACGATAGTTGTGACAGAAGTAGAAATCTGGGCGGAAAAAGGGTATTTTGCCCCAAATCTATTTTGATCCTAATAATATTTTTAATAGTGCTATTCGGTTGTATACCTCAAGCTTTCTTAGTGTTTAAAATATATGCACTTATTTTAAAATCAGCCTGTATATTAAAAAAATTAAGTATTTTTTTTAATAGTGAATCACCAATAAACGAAAATTTTATTGAATAATAGAGACATTTTTAACCAAAATTAACAATATTTTTACCCTCATAAAAAATAAAACTTCAATTTATAATCAATAAAAATAAATCACAACAAACTATAATTTGTAAAAGTATAATATATGGAATCTATTGTAGATTTTCACCTCATTTTCACTAATTATCTCTACTATATGTCTTCATCTCCCAGACACTTTCTTCATTACACTAAAATGAATATAAAAACATATTAATATACCTAGTTTACTAATAAAGCAAGGCTTCATGATTAAAGTGAAGTAGGTAGGATGTTTTCTTGGAAACATACCAGGTCTCTTGGCTCTGATGCTTTATTGGATTTCTGATTTAAACCTTTTCTCTGCTCTCAGTTTTTGTTCCACATCAGTCTTGTGTTTTGAATGGGCTAGAGATTGATGATCCATATCATACTGCCCAAGCTGGATGATTTTCATCTTTCAGGCACTAGGTTCTCCTACAAGGTAAATAAATTATGTGTGTATTGAAAACAGGAGTGAAAACATGATGTTTCCAAACCATGTAGGGCCATCAAAGGTAATGAGTATTGGCTTCTTTCATCAAAATGAAAAATGATATATGTTTTCAATAGCATGAAATACTAAATTCATCAGTTCTAGAGTAGGTATAGATACATATGGATAATATTAAAATCCTTTTTCTCAAGTACCTGTTATGAAAATAGTGTCTGCTACATATCCACTGGTTTATTATGAATGTTTCTGTTGTTGATTCTTTTCTTGATGGCTGCTATCCACATTTTCCTTATTTTTCTTGATAGATCCTTCATCTGTGGGTAATGCACAGAGTTTTTCACAGTATCACAGTAGGAAAGGGAATAAACATCAAATGGTCATACCACAATACATGTTACTGGTATTTTCTCTCCAAAATCATACTGAGTTTTCATTATTCATAATTAATCTAAACAAACCTTAATCTGACTCAATAAAATAATACTCTAAAAGGCTTCCAAAACCCACAAAGTTCTCAAGTAAACAAACGTGTCTTTGATTTGTTTTTGTTTATCAACCAGACGGCCTACGAAGCAAAGAATATAGGTTAGTCATTGATGATATTGAATCTCATAAGGTAATTACTGGCTATAAATTTGGCAACGATGGCTATTCTCCGTGCCAGCAGGTTGATGACGTCACGAAACCTGGCGTTTTTCGAAGGTTCTGTACACATGCAGTGGGACTCTGTAACTTGTGTCGCATAGCGAAAGCGAAACGAAGCGAAGTATACGACTTCGCTTTCCGGTACTCTATATGTAATTCGTTATGCTTTCGCTATCGTCATACGATTTCGTACGAAATAGAACGAAGTTGGTGGAGTTAAATTTGGCAACAGTGTTGCGGATCCCATTTATTCAAAGGAAACATCCCATTGGATCAAAAAAGCGGCATTTACGAATTATTGTATCGTCAATTTTTGGTTTCAATCAGAAATAAAGCACTTGCAGCTCATTGGAAAATATGTACCTTACTTTATAAAAAATTGGTATTTATATTCTCACTAGGTATATCTCAGGTATAGCTTTCTATTTATATGCAACTAGTAAAGGCAAATGATCTGAGAATAACAATAATATTGTAAGATATGTAACTGCTTATATTTATAATGGACATATCATTCTATAATCTAACACTCAGTATATTATTATTCACATACTATAATGTAATACCTATCAGAACTTGCTTCTCTATGTCGCAAATTAAACAAGATGATAAGCACATATAATTCCTTGAATTGCCTTCTGCAAGGCAGCTATATGTTGACAGTGCATTTATACAGATGCACTTTTTCTTACAGTTCACTTTAGAATCTTGGATGGAATTATTAATGTAGTGAAAGTAGAATCCGTTCTTGTTCTTGTTCAACATAGTAAATAATGTTCAGTTAATCCTGTTTCATGGAATTTACTCTTGATTCTCCCTTATTGGTACACAGTAATATTACACAGTTCTTCTTGGGTGTCTCCAAGGTTTTTGCTATCCAAATTATTTTTCCTTCCAATGCACTTATTATGCAAATTTTTCAAATTTGAACGTTCCAGGCTTTCTGTTATGTTTCACTGTTGTAGGTATCGGCATATTATATTAGTAGGATTCTTCAATTACCTATTATTGTCTTCTTCAATGGACTCACACCAAAGACATATTTTTCTTAACAAGGATTAAGTGAGACAACATTCAGTAATGGCACATTTCATTTTTTGGAGAAGCTACTTATATCTGCCTGTTTTGATGTATCAGGAATCTAAAAGAGAAGGATAATTCGAATGAATATGAATTATTCCAGACCCTATTCAACAGCACTAATGACAGTTTTCAGTTTATTTTTCAACTACCAAATGAACTGTATGTTTTCATCACACTGTCTATCATATTTTTTATCTCACGTCTCACGTTCTTTCATCCCCTACCTTAATCCTACCAAAGGGAACTTTCATCTCTCTGGAATATCTTTAGGACTTTGTTCGTAAAACTGAGGAATCTGTCCCACTGACTGAAGTTCTGTTTTTGCTCGCTTTGTTATCCATGTTTTTGGGTTCATTCGTCATTTATCAATCTATTATTTTTCTCAAATCAACACAAAGTTTGAACTAGGAACAACAACAAAAACCAATACCTATAACCTCAATCGTTGAGAATCGCAGAAAGCGGCAACCAAAATCCTTCGCTTGCTTCGCTTACGAACTCACGTTCGGCGTCTCCGACCTCATCCGAATATTGATACAGAGTACCGAAACGGCAAAAGCAGTCGATTACGCATGCTTTCGCTTTCGCTTTGAGTTACAGAGTCCCACTGATGGACTGATCAATATAAAATAGGTAAGTGGCGTGAATTCGATTAGAGTGTACATTGTACAACCCCATTCTCGAACATGAGACTCCTCCACAGTGTTTTGAGACGATTTAAAAATGAGGTGTGAGAAATACCTATCAATTTCTGTATCAAGTTTCACTAACACAATATAAATTTCAATCGGTAATGAAATGAAAAACAATGTGAACAAATCCCATGTTTTCGTGTTTTATTATTATTATTTTTTGTTTTTTTCGGGAAAGACAAAACAATATAAGTAGACCAATTCAACAATGATATTTTAATTTCAATCAGGTAATGAAAAATTATCCCATAATGAGATTTTTATTTTCACCTAGTGAAAATCCCCACAAAATGTGGAAACTGGCAAAAATATTTTCGAATAATCTGTTTTTGTGAAGTCTACCATACGATTTCGCAAGGAATTATTTTCAGATAGCATGATTCTCCACATGATAACCTATCTTCCTGACCCGAAAGCAGCTGAGCAGTTTTTTGCAAAAGTATCGAAAAAAAATATTTTCGAAAAATCTGTTTTTTTCGTGTGGAGTCTACCATACGATTTCGCAAGGAATTATTTTCTGATAGCATGATTCTACACCATGATTACCTATCTTCCTGACCCAAAAGCAGCTGAGAAGTTTTTTGACAAAGTATCGAAAATAGAATATTTTTTAAATTTTATGTCTTTCATGTCTATGATTTGGTGAAGAATGATTATTCTATAGACTCAATAGAGAATGATTCGACATTCAAAAGCAACTGTGCAGTGCTTTATACATCGCATATCGCAAACAAAAGCAGTTGATTCGATATTCCCTACCCTAAAAGGGGGGAAACGTGTGCCACTGGTCGATCGGGAAAGTTCGGAAATTCTGGCAGCCAGCTTTGGCAGCCCACTTCGGTGATATGAGTTCTGTGAGGACGCAGGACACTCAGGACAGAGACACTAGAGACAGAACGGGCGGTGTTTATTTTGTTAGGTTAGAATTGGGTGGGTTGAGATACTTGTGCGGTATCGTAAAGTATTTTATTCAATCAGTTACGTGAAATGGCATTCAATATTTTGAAAAAACTCGTGAGTATTTATCCTTAAGAAAATTTGTCAAGGATTACATTTTTTGATTTGATCGAATTATTGACTAACAAATCATGGATATCATGTTATCCTTATGACTACTCAATAGAAAAATGTCTAGAGTCTTGAAAATATTCCAGTCCAAATCATTGAAAAGTCTCTTATCGACAATTTTGGATTCATTTGTTGATCCCAAACATGCAAATCCAGAAATTTTAAAAGTCGTAAGTTGTTATGTAACACATTAATTGTAACCTTAGAACTTTTTATTTAGATGGTTAGATGTCACATGCAATTCTATTCTATCCTTTCAGGCTACACCAAACAGCTTAGGAAATAGGCTTTATAGCAATGAATTGAAAAAGTGTACACTCATTCCTGGAGATGGAATTGGTCCTGAAATATCAGCAGCAGTGCAACAAATATTTGGAGCTGCTAATGTTCCTATTGAGTGGGAGGCTGTTGATGTTACTCCAGTAAAGGTATTGCATTTAAAACTCATTAGGCTACAATACATTTCCCTATACCTTTCACCATTAAGCCTGCTGGATGCTTGGTTGGATGAAATGTTCTAAAAATGTGGAAATTTATTTAATACTCATAATATCTAATGTATTATATCATATTTATATTGATCTCCTGGTTGATTACATTTCCTATTATGTAGAGGTGTCCTGGGCTGGGACCCAGGCTAATTTGATTCTTAATCAATGTTTCAAATGTTCTTTCCATAATAATGTCATTTTCCAAATTAGCAACAACAAACTGTCTATCTTTCATCATCATCATTACAGTTTACCTACAAGGGTCCCATGAAAATGAGGATACACACATTATGAATTAATTACCAGGAAACTTTACTCAACAAAATATTTAGTTCATTCAACAATAAATAATAATCATTCTTTAATAAATTGAATACACATGATCACAGTATTACTCTAGGGGTATTACTCTATTCTCACACTAATAAAATGAATTATTGATCCTACTAGATTTCATGAAAAATAATCATTGTCAATTGTGAAAAAAAAGATAAGTATGTTTAGTTCATTCCAAAAAATATTTTCATGAGCAGATCTTTTGAGTGTTTGTGTGTGGTCTGTACTTTGTTTCTTCAGATGCCGGATTCTAGTAGTCTTCAAATTCTTATGTTATTGACAGAGTCTAATTCATTGAAGCATTTCTCTAATGGGTTTTATGCCAGTCATTTCATAGAGCAGTTGGTTAGGTGGATTATGAATATGGTTGTTGATGTGTTGAATTTTTGTGACAATTCCACTCATGTATAATAATTCCCAAAAATGCAAGTGGTAAATTACATTACCAGAGCAATGCATCAGTTTGACAATTATCATAAATGTCAGAAACATGATTTAACAGCAAATAATATCCCAGGAAGTAGGTATGTGGAAATTTGGAAATATCTTCCAGGCAGAAATAGTAAGGGGGATTGAAAAATCAACTTCAGAAAATGCAGAAAAAGTAATTCCTTCATATTATATTATGGAACCAATTTAACAAATTTTGCAAACAACAAAACATCAATTTGAAGACCAAAGAGTCAGTGGAAAATGTGACAGGAATAAGATGGATTGGGGCTTTAGTATGAAGAAACAGAATGGGGGAGATATAAAAGAATATGTGGTGAAAATGATGTGGAACAAAACAGCAAAACTGTTGCAAAGCATGTATTAAAAAAAATATGTTACTTTCAACCCATTCACTGACTTGGCATTCAAGAAATCCTATCATGCACATAATTATAAATGAAACAACAGAAGATGAGGACAGAATAGTGGATCAGGACACAGGGTATTCCTCAAATCCTATCATGCACATAATTATAAATGAAACAACAGAAGATGAGGACAGAATAGTGGATCAGGACACAGGGTATTCCTTGTGGAGTAAATTAGGACCAGAGATTATGGAGTAAACAGTGAACAGAGCGAGTTGACTAATTAAACAACCATCAGGTACAAAAACTGTCAGAAGTGACAAGAGTCTCAAGACATTTAGATAACATGACAATATATTTTATAGTAACATGTCAGTTTTTCTGGAGGTTCTACTCAGAAATGAAACATGTTCAAAAAAATTATGAAGTTTGAAAACATCATAATTTTGACTCACATTCTGCCTCCACTCACATTTTGTCAATATTGAAAAAAAAAAAAACAGAAACTTGTGCTGTCCTGCCATTTTGTCCTTATGCCTGTCATTAGCATTGGAGGATTCATCAGTTGAGTCATCTGCATTTGAATTTGTTTCTAATTGTAGAGGTTTTTCATTTAAATTAATTGAAAGGTCTTTGCTTCTGCTGTATGTAGCAGGTGGAATTATTTCTGTTTTTTTTGACAATCACAAATGAACTCCCATTCAATATATCCAAATGTATTGTCTTATCTTGTAGCCAAAAATTATCTATAATATTATAGGATTACTTGATGAATGTCATCCAGTTATCCAGAGTTGGGACTGTTGAAGATTTGGGTATATATTATAACTCTGCATTCCTATAAACCACATTTGGATTATATTGCATCACAGGCACTACGGACTATGGGCTTTTTAATGGGACAAAGTGCACAATTCAATGACACCAAAGCAATAACTGCACTAATACACTAGTAAGACCTAAACTTGTTTATGCATCTGGCATCTCTCTCAGCTAATTAACAAAAATTGGTTGAAAAAAATTCAAAACAAATTTCTGAAATATCTGTATTATAAAAAATAAGAAGTATACCTGGACTGTGTGATACACTAGTGAGACCTTAACTTGAATATGGCGCTGCAATCTGGCATCCCTCTCAGCTAATTAACAAAAATAGGTTGGAAAAAATTCAAAACAGACTTCTGAGATATCTGTATTATAAAAAATATAAAGCATACCCCCACTATAATATAGTCAGAACAGTAGCAGTTAGAAGTGAATTTGAAATACCCAGTGAAAAAGAGTCAGTGGAAAATGTGACAGGAATAAGATGGATTGGGGCTTTAGTATGAAGAAATAGAATGGGGGAGATATAAAAGAATATGTGGTGAAAATAGGACAGGAGAAATTCATACAGTCTACTCTACCAAAACGATACTTTAATGTAATATCAATTCAAAGGGGGGACATGTTTCGAAGCTTCAAAGCTTCATCATCAGCTTTAATAGTTACATAGGAGCACTGTTGTGGAGGAAAAAAGTTGTGTTTACATATTAATTATAACCAAAAAAGTAGTGAAGAATAAATTACTGTTACATGGAAAAAAGTTTTTTAGGGCCGCAAACTGCGGAACACCTTTGTTAAGGTACGGTGAAGTGAAACATCGTTGTAGTAAGGTTAACAATCCAAAAACTCTAAATTAAGTAATCACCTAAACATGCCGAAGGTTGTGCATTTTGTCCTTATGCCTGTCATTAGCATTGGAGGATTCATCAGTTGAGTCATCTGCATTTGAATTTGTTTCTAATTGTAGAGGTTTTTCATTTAAATTAATTGAAAGGTCTTTGCTTCTGCTGTATGTAGCAGGTGGAATTATTTCTGGTTTGTTTGACAATCACAAATGAACTCCCATTTAATATATCCAAATGTATTGTCTTATCTTGTAGCCAAAAATTATCTATAATATTATACGATTACTTGATGAATGTCATCCAGTTATCCAGAGTTGGGACTGTTGAAGATTTGGGTATATATTATAACTCTGCATTCCTATAAACCACATTTGGATTATATTGCATCACAGGCACTACGGACTATGGGCTTTTTAATGGGACAAAGTGCACAATTCAATGACACCAAAGCAATAACTGCACTAATACACTAGTAAGACCTAAACTTGTTTATGCATCTGGTATCCCTCTCAGCTAATTAACAAAAATTGGTTGAAAAAAATTCAAAACAAATTTCTGAAATATCTGTATTATAAAAAATAAGAAGTATACCTGGACTGTGTGATACACTAGTGAGACCTTAACTTGAATATGGCGCTGCAATCTGGCATCCCTCTCAGCTAATTAACAAAAATAGGTTGGAAAAAATTCAAAACAGACTTCTGAGATATCTGTATTATAAAAAATATAAAGCATACCCCCACTATAATATAGTCAGAACAGTAGCAGTTAGAAGTGAATTTGAAATACCCAGTCTAGAAAGTAGAAGGCAAGCAAATATAGTCACAATGTGTTATAAAATCTACAAAAAATATTATAACTGCCCCTATCTCCCATCAGTATTGAAAAGAAAATCTCCCAATCCATTAACACGGCTTGTACAATTCTTTGATGTTCCATATGTATCAACTAATAACTGTTCACCCATTATAACAATGATGAAATTAACAAATTTCCTACTATTGTCAGAAGTCAGCTTTGTTCTCCCTCCATCACAATTTTATCATGGTATGAAAACATATTTTTCTAATTTAGAATAGACAGTTTTTATAGTGTATTCACCCATCAGTGATTTGAAATGATCATTTGGATTATTGTAGTTTGTAGAATATTTGTAATGATATAATCTAAGACTGTAATCATAGGTACTGTTGTTATACAGGGTGATTCAGGTTTTAAGGCACAAACTGAAATAGGAGATACATCTCAACATTTTGATCAAAAAAGTATGGTATCTTGAAAAGTAAGCAAGATATTTCAACTAATAGAAGGAAATAATTCAGCTTTGACCCCCTGTATCTCCGCTACTGAACGGGATCGGACTAATGTTTATATAAAGTTTTCTGATTAAAATGATGAGATCTATTGTCCATTTCAGTTTGTGCCTTAAAACCTGTATCACCCTGTATATTACATTATGATTCTCATGTAAAAAGGTTTTCTACCTGTTTGGGAATAAATAAATCAATAAATGAAAAAATGAATTATTGCATGCTCCAGGCATATGAACCTTTCCTTCTGGGTTTTCCGTGAGGGCCAATGTCCAAAACTATTGTATCTGATGTTTTCAGTTGGGTGTGGTTCAAAACATCTTTTTGGTGTGGAGGGTTTGGTGAATGGGTGGGTGTACTCGTACATGGTCGTCCTCTTTTCTTTTCGTTTGTTTTACCCAGTAAACCTAAATCTCAATAATAATAATAATAATAATAATAATAATAATAATAATAATAATACTTTATTTCCACTTCGACAAATAAAATTGTATGGGAATTGTCAGTATGATATGCATCAGTAGTAGAAAATGATAAAAGAGTTAGATAGAGATGAGAAAATAGTGATAGAATAGAATCGGTAATACCTAAAACTAATCTTATTCTAAAAATTCTGAAATTGTATAAAAAACATGCTTCCAATAAATAGTCTTTCAACATCTTTTCGAGCATAATGATGTGTTTCAAATACATCAAATCTTCAGGAAGTTTATTGAATATTTTAGGTCCAATGCAGTTCAGGGCAGATGAACTCACTTTACACCTCGCTAACGACAATTGAAAGTGATTCTTAATTCTTGTGTTATGGTTATGTAGATTCTGATTCATTGTAAAAGTTAATCTATTTTTGAAAACATATACACAAGGCGGCTCGGTGGTCGATAGGCGGAGAGCGTTAAGGCGCTGAGTTCGTATGGGGACTCCCACTAAGACCTAGGTTCGAATCCTAGTTAGGCCATGGATGTTTGTGTTTGTATGTATACCTAACCCCGCACAAGTTTCGACTTATGGGGCGTTTGGTCCCAGTGCTGGGACTAACGAGGTATGCAATTGCGAAATTCAGAGATATAAAGAGATGTCAATGTCAAAACTTTATATTCCTTGAAGAGACTCCTACATGATTCTCTAGATGAAACATTTGCTATGCACCTTATTATTCGCTTCCGGGCAATGAACACTTCCATTGTAGCAGTTGATCCACCCCAGAAACTGACACCATACCTCAATCTAGATTCTTCTTGGGCAAAATATATGTTGAGTAATTGATCCTTACTGAAAACTGATCGAAGATTGATGAAAAAGAACTTCAGAGAGTTGAGCTTAGAACTTAATTGCTGACAATGATCCTTCCAGTTAAGGAACTCATCCAGAAAAATACACAAGAATCTCACACTCTGATTAGTGTTCCTTAATGTCATGCTATCAACAGTGAAACTAATACCTTCTATTTTGTTTTGAATATTTTGAATACGAGCAATCTCTGTCTTGTCGACATAAAAAAATAAATCATGGTTGTTGAGGAAATCTGATACATGACTTACTGAGCCAGCACATTTATTTTCTAATATTTTGGAAGCACGCGCAGAGATCACAAATGAAAAATCATCGGCGTATGCATCATAATGTCTTTCTGTTATAACACTGTCTATACTATTAACATATAAAATGAACAGAACGGGACCCAATACAGAGCCCTGTGGTACTCCCATGTTTATGCTCAACGGCTCAGAATTAACTCTACACGTTTCATGTTCTTTATTCACTTGTGAGGAAACAAATTGTTCTCGATTGTGAAGAAATGACGACACCCAACTAAGACATACGCCTCTTATTCCATACATTTCTCGAGTACAACAATTGCACGGCCAATGTCGCTCATTAGTGTTGTGATTTCACTGCTTCACACAGCAGAAATGGCGCGCTCCTAAACTATATGCGGAAATATTTAAAGTGTAGTGCCCAGTTTCCCTACTGTCCAAGGGTCCCCACTCTCCTCTTTTCATTTAGGAGCGGATTTATTCAACTCAAAGAAACACTTATTTATTACAAACTTATAAGGGTGGTTGCCTAAAAATTATATTCCTAAAGTGAATGTGGATAATATAAAATAATGAACCATGGACGTATAAAAAAGGACACAGCAACTCTATAGTTTCCGCATATGTTTTGAAGTCTTATAGTATGTAGGCAAGCGGGTTAAGGGGATGGGAAACGGTAACGATAGACAGTGCTATTTCCTCAAACGACAGCGGCGTGCGAAAATGAATTATCGCGATAGTAAGTTTCGAAATGTAAAATGCAATGAGCGACTGACAACTGAATACCACTGACATGACCGTTTATCAATCCGGGTCGCTATGGGTGATACCAAGTGAACATAACAAATACAGTTTTGTGTTTTGACAAAACTTTTCATCTATTGGAAAATTATAAATTGAGTTGGCAAAAATACTCTCTTTGATACCTACCTACCTACAGAAACGTATTTTTCCGATTTCAGGTTTCCA